ACCAAAATTTACGATCTGGCGACCAAAATTTTTCCGTTAGTCGCCAGCTGGCTCCCGAACGAAAAAGTTAATTTCGAGCCCTGCTTAACTATTAATTTAAGACACATACATTCCCTTGTTGTCCTTTTGAATGGTGTATCCCTGGTTTTGAGCAACCTCTAATGCATCCAGCCAACAGTGACCTGAATCACAAGTATTGCACTAAGATCTAGTGTCTCATATAGCAAGCCTGTAACATGACTTAAGTGGGTAGAGTTTTGTCACAGATTCTTTCTTCAGAGCTTGCTTGTATTTTGAAATGTTCAACATAACTTATGTCATAGCTAACAAAGCCCCACTGTCTCAGTATACCTAGATACATGCATCATACGTGTGCTCATGGCAAGAGCAAAGTTAATTTTGCTTTGCCAGAGAAATTTTTCATTTTGAGTGTGTGATGTCATTGTACAGTTAGACCCTGCTAATTCAAATTCTCAGTTACTTAGAAGTCAAACCATTTCCCTTGGATTGGAACAATTTTTTGTTTCCCTTGAGAGTTTGAAAAAGCAGGATTCAACAGTACATTTATTGGCATTGGCTGGTTTTTAAGACAACTGATTTGTGCTTTTAATTTAGCTGTGCATATATTGATGCACTTGAGAAGTTTAAAGAGCACTCAAGAAGCCAGTCCATGCCTTAAGCTACTCTTATGTTTTTTTCAGGCTCTTCAAACTTCCCATGTGCATCATAACCTGATGATGCGCACTTAAGCATGAATAGACTATCAATCATCAAGTAATGAGATATGACAGTGACAAGACCAGGAAGACTTCTTATCTTGCCAATATTGCCATTGCAAATCAAACTTAATTTCTAATCAGATGTGATTCTCACCATCAGATTCTGAATCTGCCCGTAAGATTAGATGATCCTTAGGCATGGGTTGAGCAATTGACCCTGCTAACTCCCCCTTGGGACCCTTTGTTGACCAAATGTAGTGCTCCAGGGGATGGTAGATCTTAAAGCAAAATCCTTCTTTCTTGGATGGCCTCTGCAGAATTTCACAACCAGTCAAGAGCACAGTACCCACCCACTGGCCATGCTGTCAAATCAAAGTAGGGATGTGTCAATATATGAAGTACAATGTAGTCTCCTGGGCCGGGTTATTCAAAGCCTGATTTTAAGCTAACCCATGATTAGCAAGAATCTTTATTTCAGTTTTGTATCATTGCAGTAACATATTGTTTATATTGTTTGGCCTTTTGCTTTGAGTCTAAATAATCTCAAACTACACAAGACATAAAACATTTTCATGCCAGAAAATTTTATACTTTGTTTGATTTTTATGGACTGGGTTAGCATTAACAGGCTTTTGAACTACTGAGCCCAGTAATGTATCATTTGATTAATAGTACCAGATATAAATTATCACAAATTCTGCTTGTGATCATTCACATTACAATGGGCTGGGGACAAAGAAAAGAGTAAAGGGTCATCAACATTACAAGCAGGAATACAATATTACCATGAAAGAGAAATAAGAGTCCAGTANGGCTATTGACCCGTAGCCCTTGCGGGCTACGGGTCTAATTGTTAATTAGCCTCAGTTGCAAGGTAGTTCCAGTCCAATACTGAGAATACGAAAATGGTCTATTATTCTCTTTCAGTTTGATTGGTTCTAACTTGTGATCAATCACAGTACAGACGCAGAGATGAAGTCATAAACATTTTTGTTTTGTTTCATAGAATTACTGATTTGATAGTAGACAGATGGATTTTGATAATACCTTTGCACTTTTGTAAATAAGCAGCATTCCCGGCTTCACAACACACCAGAACTTAGCCCAACCTTTCAGTGTACCACGCACCTGAAATTAAAATTAAACAAACACATTGCCACAAGTTCCTAGAACCACAATATACTAGCCACCTCTACAAATACCGAAAATATATAATATGCAGTTGAAACTCTAGTGAAAGAACAACTTGGGGATTCAAAATAGTGGTGGTAAATAGTGGGGTGGTGAATGGTAAATGCGAGACTTTGCACGAAGTTTTTTTTTTTTTTTTTGCAAGCCCAAGACGTTTTGACTTCTTTAATTGAGAGACTGAGACTTTAAAATGTTTAAAATGGGAGCTTGAGACCTTCAGATTCTAAGACATTCAGACGTCTTTTAAATAAAAAAACAAACAAACAAACAAACAAACTGGTACTTTAAGACTTTCTTACCATTGCTAAAAATCGAGACTGCCAGACAGTTTTGCCAAAAAATCAAGACCACGGGATGCACATAACAGCTAAAAAAAATGAGACTGCAAGACCCGTGAAATTCAACAAAAATTTTGCGAGACCATTTTTGGTTGTTTACAACAGTGAGCTTATGTACAGGAGTGGTCACAGGAGCTTTAAATTACATGTACAACTGAATTGATATTCTAGCAGGATTTCACAGTGGTGGTAGTAACTCGAGCTGGTCACTTGTGTGAGCACTTAAAAGCAACATTGTCTTCTACCTTGAGCCAAGATGAAAGAATAATAACTGAAGGGTCCTTCAATGCACTTGATAACTCCTTTATTCTTCGCTTCTGTTCTTGTCTGTAACTCTCTTTCATGGCCTGCACAAGTAATTTAATTAAGAAAGAATAAAAATAATAATGCATTGTGAATATTTAAATTAACTCTGAGAAACTAAATCTGCTAAGAAGCTTCTTAATTAGTTCAGTACACTGTAATGGTAAACTATTATATTATATCATTTTTTGCTTTATTGCACAAGGTTCTGCTTGTACCTTAACAAAATATTCCTTACAACTACCATAACTGAAGAAGAAATTTCATTTGCAAGATCAACAACATCAAGTTCCATAACAGCAGGCCAAACTTTCGAGATAAACATTCAATATATAAGGGTTAATTGCCTAGCATACCTTGAAAGACTCCTTGGTTGTCTTCCTTGGAAAGTTAGGAGATCTTTCAGTCTGTGAGAGTTTCTTCTCCAGATGCTGCTGTTTCAAAAATGGATCTCTTAGACAATTACGTACTAAACAGTTTAACTTTTATGTCCCAGCATGAAAATTCTCCCCAGGGATTTCACTGCATTTTGTATTGTGTTAGTAGGGAGAATATGATCGACATGCCAATATCATAACAATAAATTGAAGATCCTCAACTGCAAACTCTAGACATCAATACTCAACACACATTTTTAGCGGAGCTCCGGCAGAACACCATACCCATAAAGGAAAGTAAAGGAAACCCATGAATTGATTTTCTCAAGGTGATCAGGCGGTATTGCCCGTGGACATGTACGCATGACAACAACGACGGCGGAGTTGCGCAAGATGGCGGCCACACTCCAGTTATAGTCAATTGACACCTGTCAAAACAAGGTACCTGTTGACCAATATCACGTGACTATATCACAGGCTCAAGTTTAGAGCTCATAAGGTTCACATGTTTTTTTTTAAGTTGACTGCTGACCAAAGGCTGGTTTTTGGTTGGATCATGGGTTCATTTCGGGTTAACTTGTTGTAAATAGTTGTTTGGAAGCCAGTTAAAGCTAATCCAGGATCAAAAGTCAACCAAAGTATAAATTTTTCTTGTTTACAAATGTTTTTCACTGCTTTTGTTTCGTGCAGTTTGAGATTACTCAAACTCATACCAGAAGGCCACACAATATACAGAAAACTTCAATGCAAATTTACAAAACTTAAATCAAAATTATCGCTTATCTTGGGTTAGCTTAATTGAGCTTTGAACAACTGAGAGTTCCGCTTTTAGGCTTGGCTAAATTTATATTATTACCATATACCATAAAATACCAGATACAATGGCCCCACTTATAAGCACCATAGACATACAAATAAGGCCTCCTGACAGATGCCCCTCTTTTTCCTACAACACCTAAAATAACCCCTGTTTATACGCAACTAACTAACATGACCGGTAACAGAATACTGTACTTGAAAAGTAATATTTAGTGAATAAATTTGCAAAAACGTAACATGAAACCCTCAAACGAGTGATTTTTTGTCCTGGTGGTCATTTCCAATAAGGATTGTAACTAACAGTGTAAGGAGAATAAATATGTTAATTGCCTTATTTTTGGTACAGTTGAATCTCAATTAGGTTGGGACTAGATGAAATAGTCTGGATAATCGAGGGTCCGGATAACCATAAAATATGAATATTAATGACAAACTGTTTAAATCAAGCAACATTTAATCGTTACAAATCGTTTGGAAAACAATATGGTTTACTGTACATCTTGAACCACTCAACTCTGAGCCAATCAGAGCTCATTCGAGTGTTCTTCTTTAGTTACAACGCATGTGATCAAGCGCTGCTTTTGCTCTTTAAAAACAAAACAAACACACTTTTGACTGCACTTTTAAATGCTATAGTTTTAAAAAGAATATTGCTACAGATCTTGCACGTGACTAATAAATATTCATGACAAAACTGGGACTAGGGAAAAAGTCCGGATAATCGAGAAATCCGGATAATTGAGGTACGGATAATCGAGGTTCAACTGTATACATCAAGGTTTAATAATCTGGCTGCTGCCATATATATCACATACCAATCTCTCTTTATCTCTATCCCTCTTGTCTGACTTGACAAGTGGGGTCGAATTCCTTGAGCTGGATCCATCAAATTTAAAATTACCCTCTGCATCATCTTGAGCTGAAGGAAAATGGCATTGTCAAATTCACAGCAATGTAAGGTTACGAACATATAGTTGTACTTGTTAGCAGATAAAGCAACATAACTGATCGTATAAGGAGCTTGAGTTATTTCAGCCACTTTAAATTGAAGGAAACCTGAAAATAATAGTTTACTGAGATTGAAAAACAACAATGAAAGAGATAAAAATAATCCATAAAGGAGAAAGGATGGTTAAGGACTGAGAAGATTGTCACACAAACAATAAACTTGAAAAATGTAGGCTAAACTTGTGCAAAACGTGACTAGCTCCTCTAAGGCAAATTAACATTTCTAAAGTACTGGCTTGCATTAATTTTTTATCTCCATGTGCACAATCGTCATGTGTACATACAATAAAACATATCATTATACAACTGCAGCAAATTCATCCATATAACGAACAAAATGAATGCAAATATACATCAGAATATTATTACCAGTGAAAAAACCTGTCTACACATTAAGGTCATTTCCCAGTATTGCATTGCACATCCCTACTGCGCATAATTTCACGCGTGATTAGCACACGCGCATTAAAAAATGGCAGCTTTTTCTTTACGGCTAGGCCTCGACATAGAGGTAAATCGTCATTTTCTCGCAAATGAGTATGGTGACCTATCATTTTGTTCTGTTGTTTTGAATTGGGTAATTAATTTCTCTGTGTAAAATATATATAGACCAATTCTCAGTGTAGAACAAAAAACAATCGTCGGAAACATGAATTTTGCAAGCAATCGTGACTACAATCATGGTGATATTATAAGGATTCATATGGGTATAAACAAGGTGCTGTTGCTCCTAAATGAAGATGGGGACCCCTCATTTTTAATTCAAAATTTAATTTCCTATAATATAAACAATCAATAGGCAAAGTTTCACAAAAATCTCAGTGCAGTTCTATTTCAGCGGAATTACCTTAAGATTGGTCAAATGACAAGTAAATCACCCTTAAGAGAGCTTTGTGCTAAATAGACATTTACGATCCTGGACATATGTTTTGCTGAAACCTAGCTTTGACAATGTTTTTTGTAATGCACAGTCATGACTGTTATTCATGTGCAGTGTTAAGCATTGCATTTGCACTCATTTTAATTTTCGGGTACACAGTAACACTTCTATAAATATTACTGACAGTACTTTTTCATTTAATTTTCTTAAAAATGTACTAAGCTGAGAAGAACAGATCAATTTATTTATGAGATCAAAAACCTATCACAGCTACCCTGCTGTGTTGAGAATTGACTAACAAAAGGTTTTAAGCATGCACGTAGTTTTAGTTTGATGCATATCTTGTTTATTTTAAAGGTAGCTATAACTTTTAATAAAGGAAATCCAGAATTTCTAGATCAGAATCACACACCAACAATAACAGATTAGCTTACATAGTGACTTCAAGAGTATGTACTAATCACAAGTACAAGGTCTTTAAAATTAACATTACAAAAATTTGTTCTTTATTTTTAGCCAGATCTACAAATCAAGTCACTTTTTAACCTGATACCAAAACAACGATGCATTAAAAATACGAGAAGCAACTATCTGATGAATAAATATCAAAGATTTGATTTCAGTTAATTATTTATTGTTGCTTGATCACTGGGTTTATCACAAACGAATAAAAATTTGCCACAGATGACAAACAAAACACTCCCAGGGATATCATTTCAACACAACAACCAGCAGTTTAAGCTGCAAGTCTTGATCAGTGAGAAACACACAAGCAAGGAGGTACACCACAAAGGCTTCTGAAAAAAGCCTGCTCAGAAAAAAAGCTTTCACTTCCAGCTGTTAAAAATGATAATTTACACCACAGTTTGTTAAATGCTGTTATTAACACCATATATTCAAAGTCTACCTTTGAAGGCATTAAGAAACATGTTAAAGTTTCCCTGTCTTATTGAAGATGAGACACCCAAGAGCATTTATGGCTTAAACTAACTTGCAATTGATTGACTTCTAGAGAAATGTACACAAAAAAATGTCCACAGCAAACTACTACGAAATCAAATAAACACACCTATTAAATGTGATTTGCTCTCGATTCAAACAAAGTTGATTCAATACATAAATTGAAACAGCCATATGTTGCCATCACTGTGGCAGTAGCTTGATAACACGTACTTCACTGCAACACATTTTGAACAAAGAAGAAATCATAGAAAATGATCAAATAACAAATGAATGTTCTTGAGAACATTTAATCTAGTCCCAAATTTCATGATGCAAAAATGTAAAACAGAACTTACAATAAATTATTGTCACAGAACTAACTCAATCATTAGCTTGCAGGTGTAGATATATATATACCAGACATAAACCCAGAGGAGTGTCTAACAGCTGAGCTCTTTCAAGTATTGGGCAAATTGCCTGCTAAATACACATGTAAGCTTGTTTGGGAACTGAAAATGTGACAATTGCCATATTACCTGTAACTAAAACTTGCAGTGGAACTTGTCTGTGCTTGCCTGACTTATCCTTCTTTGCTGACATAACAACGGTCATAAAAAATTACATGCACCCAAGTTTCATCCCAGCACAATATATACATCAATGTATATACAAACATTCACTCTTGCGAGATGCATTAATTACCATGTCCATAAAATACCTATTTCCTGTTGCAACCAAAGTTGTCATTGTCACTCTTGATAATGATTAGAAGACATTCGGGAAATTATGCACAGAGGTTGAATGAGGCTGGAATCCAAATATTTTAATCCTTGCTTTTAAGCTAAAAATCACAAAACCAATCATTGACACGAGAAACCAAACATGTGGTATCAACAAAATCTTTCCTAAATATGAATTATTCAATGGCTAATAATTCTCGAAACTCTTACACATGCAAGGCAATTCCAAATTAATTTTATTTTCTTTCTATTTATTCAGTGAATCAATATTTATCAAACACCTGCGCCTTTTTTTAAAAGGACTTGATCAGTAATGGATAAAATAGTGAAAAAATCAACAAACGGATTTAAAATAAGACATTCAACAGAATGTTTACAACCTGCTTAAATACAAGAGTTGTAGGTACATAAATTTCAATCAACCTGATCTCAACAAAACAGTTTTCTATTATTATATTGATGATTTTTATTATTATATTATATCAGAGATGGGAAAACTTCATGAAGTGTGCATGCATGTTCTGGTCCAAATCCATGCTTGCTTTGAAATTCTAAACCTCCATTTGACTTGTATGTTCCTCTGTCTGACTTATATTTCTTACTAATTTGAAAATCTGAAATGCAATTTAATTAAAAAAAAAAAACAAAACCTGTCAAACTTTTTATGAGTATTGAGAAACAAATTTATTCAAACAAAATACAACATATATTTCAACTGGAAAATGCAGCATTTGATATAATTTGCTTAAATTGAGACAATGCATGATTATTATAATAGGTGTATTGACTTGAATACAAAAGATAGGATGGAATAGGCAAAACCTTACGCCGTCAAGAAGCCTCATAAAGCGTTTCACACCTTGACAAAATAACACCTAACGACTTTTAGACCTGCTTATAGGCAAACGAAAATGAACCATAAAAACTAACATTTTTGGGTTATCATGACACCATTATCAAGGTGATTTGTAGAGATGTTCTACATTCATTTTTGCTTGCAAGCCTGTGTCTTTCAAAATTATTACTGATTAGTTCTGCCTCCTTTATTAATATCTTGGATGACATGAAGGAAGATACCCCTGATAAAAAGGTAAAAATTAGAAAGTGAGTGGTACAGTTCAGTCTTAAGCAGCCTTCACTCGGCAAACTAAAGTTGGCAAACTCATGTTGGCAAACTCAAGTTGGTGTGTGTGAACGGCACAAATACAGTCAGCAAACATGTCGGCAAACTGTTGGCGACAAATAAAACTTGCCTCTATTCTTGCTAACTTTTTCACCAACCTTTTCCATGTTTGGTAAACTCATTTCTGACGTGTCAACGCTTGACAAACAAGTGTTGTTAACTGTCAACCAATCAAAACATGTGCTCTATTCAAGGGATTCATTCGCGTGACACTTCCCAAAATGGCGGATGCAATTCAAGATGAACATGAGGCCACTTTTAAATTTATCGAAGAGGTTCACAATTGTCCGGCTATGTGGAACGTTTCATCTGTAGTCTACAAAGATACAAAAAACGAACAAAAGAAAATGGAGGAGCTGGCGGACAAACTAGGTTTCATCCAAACCTTTCTATTTCTCCACCGCTTTCTGTTTCTTCTCTTCTCTTCTTCTGTTTCACTGTCATACGTGAGTGCCACTGTACCAAGTTGGCCGTGTTGCAAATTACCGTGTGTTGTGAAATGACGCAAGTTTGACCTGTGAAGGTATGAGTTTGCCAACTTTTTGAAGTTAATTTGCCAACATGAGTTTGCCAACTTAAGTTTGCCACGTGAAGGCTGCTTTACCATTGCACAACAAGGTGAAGACATTATGTTGTAGACTTACAAGTTCTAATTTTGCTTTCAGTCACAAAAAAATCTTTCAAACTAAATGTAGTTTTCTGAGTCCCTTTGTTTCAAAATAACATAACGAGCCTGAGACAGTGAAAATAACAAATCAAGCTATGTTATATCCATTTAATTGGTGATTGGTGACTGCAAACTGTGTACTCCAGGACACATTTACAAACAATTACATGTATCAAAATTTATTTTGTGTGAGTTCCATGACGGTCACATGTAGTTATTATTGGTTGCAAAGAGAACTTTGTGCAAACGCTGATGAACTGCCATTCAATGCCTTACTAAATTACCCATGTACTCGCAAATTTTCATCGAGTGGCCAAAAATTAGATGAATATCGCCCTTTGTTCCCACAAATCATCATGTGACATACTGCAAGATTCTTCTCAAACTGTTATGCGAAAAAGTTTGCAAGAACAAAGATTGAAATTCTCACATCTCACTTGCACTACTTTTGCATAATACTGTTCATTAACATACTCCACAATTTTTTTGAGCAAAATGGTTTTTCACAGAAGTTATGGTTCATGTGAAATATCTAATTAATTAACGTTGACATGCATTATGATGCAGCACTAAGTGTGTTTGTACTAGTTACTCGTATATCTAAATTAAATTTTCATTTAGTCCACCAATCAGAGCACTCCAAGCTTAAACCAATCGAAGGTGAACAACTGCATCCCAAAGTTTGCAGTAGGTCACCAGTTGCAATTTGGCAACTTATGCAGTGCAGAGGGTTAACTGGGTATTGAACATTTTTTGCAGTATAAGAGAGGAGTTTAATAAACATTTCCAAGCATTCTTGTGACTTCCAGAAAATTAGGCAAGATGTTCATGATATATTTTGCACTATGTTTATGTAACATCTGAAATTTCCTGGAAAAGTTTGCGAGTTTCCTGATTCCCAGATATTTATATAGAATCCCCACAGAAATAAAAAAAAATGTTCTTCTCGCAAAACAACATCAATTAATAATAGACTTGTACCCACCCATCCCCCAACCCCTGTGGTATGTAATATTCACTTTGTAAAGCGAGTTTCTCAATGATACCTTTTCTATTCACCCTCCTTGCCCACCTGTTTACAAGTGTTTAATTTAGTTAAGCCTATTTTCTGACTTGTCTGTTTATTTTCAGTCAATAAATGGTGGTAACTCTAAAGCTTTACAGCTATTTCCGGGTGGCGTATATATATATTTTTTAAATCACAGAACAAATAAATGTTGCTTGCCTTGCATTGACTGTAAATCTCATTTACCTTTTCAACTGAGCTTTAATTTAAATAATCTGCATATTAAACGCCCTGACATCTCATGAACTGTACAGTGTTTTGCCACAGATAAAGAAAATATTTACTGATACAAACATTTTTTATAAAAGCCTATCTTGGCACAATGATAAGGTAACATAAGCATCACTAACCTGATGGACTTCCTCCGAGGGGTAAGCTTCGATCCTCTTCACCATTATCATTACTGGCCTTGCTCCGCGATAGATTTCCAATAAGTAATGCAGTGTCCGCTAAAAACAAAATTAAACAGTTTGAGCTGGCAATACACATGTATATGGTAAAAACTAGTGCTTTATGCTAGAGAAACTGGAGATATGTTTACCACATTAACAAACTGTGACACTATGAATGTTAACAGTCACATTGTTGACCAAACTTTGCCACAAAACAAACTTACAAACTGTACAATTAGTTGAACCCCTACAAATCAGACACTGAAGGGCAAGAAAGGTTTGAGGTAGACAAGAGCATCTTTAATATTATACAGCTGTGAGATCATTCCAAAAGGTTCTCAGAGGCTGTAATAGGCCTATATTGTTTCTTGCAAATTATCCAAATACAAGAGAAAAGTGTATATTTCATTCGGTCAAAACAATTAGGCTATTTACAAGATACCTTTTGCCTTCACAGTTTAAAACGAGTCAGACTGGAGAACTTTGGATTGCATGGAAATGAATGAGTTAGGTGAAATACATTTTTCATGAATCTTTTTAGTTAAATACACAAAACCTGTTTTGACATTGAGCTTAAAATAAAAGCAACTTGAAAGCAGTCTATTCAAATGGAGTAAATTAATTAGAAAAGCAAGAAAACATTAAGACAGCAGAATTAACTAAGAAATCTGCAGAGTATTTGACTGACAAGACAAAATATTAGAGCACTAAAAAGAGTGAACATATGCAATAAAAATGCTATAACAGTATGTTAAAATCATAGGCAGAAGATATATACTATAATGTCATCTTCTATCCACACACTTTACTGTCTCCCTGCATCGCAATGTATTCAATATTAAAGACCTGTCAGGCATGCATCCAAGCTCTGGTGGGTTTTGTGTTGTGAATCACCAGCATTTTCTTGAAAAAATTTGCCCTTGAGAGGAAGTTGTTGTGGACCTCTCTTAGTGCTCGTCAACAGGTGCTGCAGTAGAGCAGACACCTGCTTCAAATCTTATTAAAAGCACTGAAAACGTTTAGTAAATAATATTGCTATATGTAGCAGAGTCATATGGTATCCATTATTAAAAACTAAATCATTGGATAATGCAAATCAAGAGTTTCATTGGCTTAGCCATCTCAGTATACGAGCCATTATGCCATACTCTAGAAATATGGTATACATAAGAGTAATTTTTGGGGGCATTTTTATTTTTATTTTTATTAGACTAAGTTTAGTTTTGTGTATTTAGGGGACTTTTTAGTGAGACAATTATTTCCCTTGCGTTTGTTGGATATGAAATAATTATAGCCAACTAAGTGCTACACGCCTTATTGGCTATCTACCATCTCATGTCCAATGCATGCTCGTGGAATGATTGTTAATTATTCATATTACAGAGGTGTTCATATTGTAGACTACATGTAACTGTCTACTACAGAGGTATTTATATAGTAGACAGGTGTCCAACAGAGAGGTTTCACTGTTATTTCAATTTGATTAACTGTAATTGCAGGAATAACTAGTGTTTCAGTATGTTGTGATAAAGACCAATTTAGACACTTCAAATTTGTCTCCTACCTCTTTTAGAACAAGTGTTTGCTGCTTGTGCCACGCAAAGATTTTGTATAGCTTTGCATATATAACATCACCTAATGCTATGATTGTGGTAGGGTATTAACTAACACATGCCTCAAAATTCTATGGCAATCCACATTCTTTGTGTCGTATTTACATGATTATCATTAATATCACATGGGGACTAGCCATTCTTCCATTTGTACTTTTGTTCCTCTCATTCTACAACATTGTGTACAGTTGTAAAAGCTTGATTTGCACAAAGCAATTTGTGTCAAAGACATCGCAAGCTTGTCACATTGGATAAAATTGTACTGTCTTCTTAATTTGCCAACCACATACTTAAATGCTACAGTATATTGTTTAAGACCTATAGTAGAAAAGAGTATAGACTGTGAAAATTACACTGCATGCAGGCCTGTTTTCAATGCAAGCTATTTGCAAACCAATTGTCATCACTTATTCATGGCCAGTGAAGACAAGTTTTCAATAAATATTTTGTTTACCAATCTGTTAACTTTACATTATATTCTCTGGTGAATTGTTAAAAAAGCACAAAATCCACTATACAACTACATCGCTCAAGTTGGAAATGACTAGCACAGACTGATTTGTTTTAAATCTGCAGATATGGTGAACTACCAGCGGGCTACACGACACTATGTCAGCTTAGTTACACCAGGCTTCCATGGAACAGAAGTGGGTGCCCCATGCAGGACTGTGCTCTAGAGGTGTATGGGTGCCAGAGGCACTTAACTTTTCCCTTTGTGCAACTCGAAAAACTTATTTTTGCATGATATAAGCTCAAAGTGCTGGGCACACAGGATTTCAGTAGCCTTTGGGCTCTTCATAATTTGTCTTAGACCACAGCCCTGTCCATGGGAACTTCAATCACTTTTTCATAACTATTAGGTTAGTCCCTTCTGTGCAAAAGCTGTAGTGATTGCATAGAACCACAAGTAATAAATAATTATCTTGAAAACTGATACTACCCTCTGTGTGGCATTCTATTTGCTCTTAGAAGAGGTCTTTTTGTGTTTAAATAAATATTCTACCAACACTTCACCTGTCCTTAAATACCTAAATCAAAAATCAAAACCATTTTGGCATTAGCATCCTGCAAAAGCTTCTAAAACAAGTCTTGACATCAATGATGGACAAGAATTCTAATAAATCAAGTGGGTGTTGTTAAAACTCAGAATCATACTAGTTAGGTAAACTATATAGAAAGAAAAATTAATACCACAAATTTAGTGTTTAATGGATTAGTCACATTTGCCTAGTTTGTTATAGATGCAGATTCAAGCCTGCAGTTCACTTACTACTATCATAACAATGTAAATGTTTTGGTTTGACTGAGTTGGCAGCAAACTGTTTTCATGTTGTTAAAGATACATGAAAGGTAAATGTGCCCAGCTCTCAATATCAAATTGTCCATCTCAACTGCTACTTTATGTCTCTACCCTGTCCAACTTGGACAAAGCAATACCTTTTACACTTCCTTTCCAAAAATAGATGTGACAAGTCCATTGTGTAAACTAAATTATCATTTTAAATTGAAAGTGCAATATACTGCAGTAATCATACCCAGAAGAGAATAACCCATTCTTGAAAAAAACTCAGCCACTGGTTGCAAATGATGCTATCAATTTCACACTGAATGCCTTACCTTGTGTCAAATCTACCACTCCTTCGATAATTTTGAATTATGTTTTCAAAAGTTGTCTTGTTTCCGTGTAAAATCAAAAACGCACATCACGTATTATCAGTTATTTCCCACAAAGAACTTTTGACTGCTTCCTGGGCCATTCAAAGAAATCAATAAGCTTTGAATAAAATATTTCAAATCCAACAGATCAATCAAACAAAATCGAACTAAGNGCTTGACAAACAAGTGTTGTTAACTGTCAACCAATCAAAACATGTGCTCTATTCAAGGGATTCATTCGCGTGACACTTCCCAAAATGGCGGATGCAATTCAAGATGAACATGAGGCCACTTTTAAATTTATCGAAGAGGTTCACAATTGTCCGGCTATGTGGAACGTTTCATCTGTAGTCTACAAAGATACAAAAAACGAACAAAAGAAAATGGAGGAGCTGGCGGACAAACTAGGTTTCATCCAAACCTTTCTATTTCTCCACCGCTTTCTGTTTCTTCTCTTCTCTTCTTCTGTTTCACTGTCATACGTGAGTGCCACTGTACCAAGTTGGCCGTGTTGCAAATTACCGTGTGTTGTGAAATGACGCAAGTTTGACCTGTGAAGGTATGAGTTTGCCAACTTTTTGAAGTTAATTTGCCAACATGAGTTTGCCAACTTAAGTTTGCCACGTGAAGGCTGCTTTACCATTGCACAACAAGGTGAAGACATTATGTTGTAGACTTACAAGTTCTAATTTTGCTTTCAGTCACAAAAAAATCTTTCAAACTAAATGTAGTTTTCTGAGTCCCTTTGTTTCAAAATAACATAACGAGCCTGAGACAGTGAAAATAACAAATCAAGCTATGTTATATCCATTTAATTGGTGATTGGTGACTGCAAACTGTGTACTCCAGGACACATTTACAAACAATTACATGTATCAAAATTTATTTTGTGTGAGTTCCATGACGGTCACATGTAGTTATTATTGGTTGCAAAGAGAACTTTGTGCAAACGCTGATGAACTGCCATTCAATGCCTTACTAAATTACCCATGTACTCGCAAATTTTCATCGAGTGGCCAAAAATTAGATGAATATCGCCCTTTGTTCCCACAAATCATCATGTGACATACTGCAAGATTCTTCTCAAACTGTTATGCGAAAAAGTTTGCAAGAACAAAGATTGAAATTCTCACATCTCACTTGCACTACTTTTGCATAATACTGTTCATTAACATACTCCACAATTTTTTTGAGCAAAATGGTTTTTCACAGAAGTTATGGTTCATGTGAAATATCTAATTAATTAACGTTGACATGCATTATGATGCAGCACTAAGTGTGTTTGTACTAGTTACTCGTATATCTAAATTAAATTTTCATTTAGTCCACCAATCAGAGCACTCCAAGCTTAAACCAATCGAAGGTGAACAACTGCATCCCAAAGTTTGCAGTAGGTCACCAGTTGCAATTTGGCAACTTATGCAGTGCAGAGGGTTAACTGGGTATTGAACATTTTTTGCAGTATAAGAGAGGAGTTTAATAAACATTTCCAAGCATTCTTGTGACTTCCAGAAAATTAGGCAAGATGTTCATGATATATTTTGCACTATGTTTATGTAACATCTGAAATTTCCTGGAAAAGTTTGCGAGTTTCCTGATTCCCAGATATTTATATAGAATCCCCACAGAAATAAAAAAAAATGTTCTTCTCGCAAAACAACATCAATTAATAATAGACTTGTACCCACCCATCCCCCAACCCCTGTGGTATGTAATATTCACTTTGTAAAGCGAGTTTCTCAATGATACCTTTTCTATTCACCCTCCTTGCCCACCTGTTTACAAGTGTTTAATTTAGTTAAGCCTATTTTCTGACTTGTCTGTTTATTTTCAGTCAATAAATGGTGGTAACTCTAAAGCTTTACAGCTATTTCCGGGTGGCGTATATATATATTTTTTAAATCACAGAACAAATAAATGTTGCTTGCCTTGCATTGACTGTAAATCTCATTTACCTTTTCAACTGAGCTTTAATTTAAATAATCTGCATATTAAACGCCCTGACATCTCATGAACTGTACAGTGTTTTGCCACAGATAAAGAAAATATTTACTGATACAAACATTTTTTATAAAAGCCTATCTTGGCACAATGATAAGGTAACATAAGCATCACTAACCTGATGGACTTCCTCCGAGGGGTAAGCTTCGATCCTCTTCACCATTATCATTACTGGCCTTGCTCCGCGATAGATTTCCAATAAGTAATGCAGTGTCCGCTAAAAACAAAATTAAACAGTTTGAGCTGGCAATACACATGTATATGGTAAAAACTAGTGCTTTATGCTAGAGAAACTGGAGATATGTTTACCACATTAACAAACTGTGACACTATGAATGTTAACAGTCACATTGTTGACCAAACTTTGCCACAAAACAAACTTACAAACTGTACAATTAGTTGAACCCCTACAAATCAGACACTGAAGGGCAAGAAAGGTTTGAGGTAGACAAGAGCATCTTTAATATTATACAGCTGTGAGATCATTCCAAAAGGTTCTCAGAGGCTGTAATAGGCCTATATTGTTTCTTGCAAATTATCCAAATACAAGAGAAAAGTGTATATTTCATTCGGTCAAAACAATTAGGCTATTTACAAGATACCTTTTGCCTTCACAGTTTAAAACGAGTCAGACTGGAGAACTTTGGATTGCATGGAAATGAATGAGTTAGGTGAAATACATTTTTCATGAATCTTTTTAGTTAAATACACAAAACCTGTTTTGACATTGAGCTTAAAATAAAAGCAACTTGAAAGCAGTCTATTCAAATGGAGTAAATTAATTAGAAAAGCAAGAAAACATTAAGACAGCAGAATTAACTAAGAAATCTGCAGAGTATTTGACTGACAAGACAAAATATTAGAGCACTAAAAAGAGTGAACATATGCAATAAAAATGCTATAACAGTATGTTAAAATCATAGGCAGAAGATATATACTATAATGTCATCTTCTATCCACACACTTTACTGTCTCCCTGCATCGCAATGTATTCAATATTAAAGACCTGTCAGGCATGCATCCAAGCTCTGGTGGGTTTTGTGTTGTGAATCACCAGCATTTTCTTGAAAAAATTTGCCCTTGAGAGGAAGTTGTTGTGGACCTCTCTTAGTGCTCGTCAACAGGTGCTGCAGTAGAGCAGACACCTGCTTCAAATCTTATTAAAAGCACTGAAAACGTTTAGTAAATAATATTGCTATATGTAGCAGAGTCATATGGTATCCATTATTAAAAACTAAATCATTGGATAATGCAAATCAAGAGTTTCATTGGCTTAGCCATCTCAGTATACGAGCCATTATGCCATACTCTAGAAATATGGTATACATAAGAGTAATTTTTGGGGGCATTTTTATTTTTATTTTTATTAGACTAAGTTTAGTTTTGTGTATTTAGGGGACTTTTTAGTGAGACAATTATTTCCCTTGCGTTTGTTGGATATGAAATAATTATAGCCAACTAAGTGCTACACGCCTTATTGGCTATCTACCATCTCATGTCCAATGCATGCTCGTGGAATGATTGTTAATTATTCATATTACAGAGGTGTTCATATTGTAGACTACATGTAACTGTCTACTACAGAGGTATTTATATAGTAGACAGGTGTCCAACAGAGAGGTTTCACTGTTATTTCAATTTGATTAACTGTAATTGCAGGAATAACTAGTGTTTCAGTATGTTGTGATAAAGACCAATTTAGACACTTCAAATTTGTCTCCTACCTCTTTTAGAACAAGTGTTTGCTGCTTGTGCCACGCAAAGATTTTGTATAGCTTTGCATATATAACATCACCTAATGCTATGATTGTGGTAGGGTATTAACTAACACATGCCTCAAAATTCTATGGCAATCCACATTCTTTGTGTCGTATTTACATGATTATCATTAATATCACATGGGGACTAGCCATTCTTCCATTTGTACTTTTGTTCCTCTCATTCTACAACATTGTGTACAGTTGTAAAAGCTTGATTTGCACAAAGCAATTTGTGTCAAAGACATCGCAAGCTTGTCACATTGGATAAAATTGTACTGTCTTCTTAATTTGCCAACCACATACTTAAATGCTACAGTATATTGTTTAAGACCTATAGTAGAAAAGAGTATAGACTGTGAAAATTACACTGCATGCAGGCCTGTTTTCAATGCAAGCTATTTGCAAACCAATTGTCATCACTTATTCATGGCCAGTGAAGACAAGTTTTCAATAAATATTTTGTTTACCAATCTGTTAACTTTACATTATATTCTCTGGTGAATTGTTAAAAAAGCACAAAATCCACTATACAACTACATCGCTCAAGTTGGAAATGACTAGCACAGACTGATTTGTTTTAAATCTGCAGATATGGTGAACTACCAGCGGGCTACACGACACTATGTCAGCTTAGTTACACCAGGCTTCCATGGAACAGAAGTGGGTGCCCCATGCAGGACTGTGCTCTAGAGGTGTATGGGTGCCAGAGGCACTTAACTTTTCCCTTTGTGCAACTCGAAAAACTTATTTTTGCATGATATAAGCTCAAAGTGCTGGGCACACAGGATTTCAGTAGCCTTTGGGCTCTTCATAATTTGTCTTAGACCACAGCCCTGTCCATGGGAACTTCAATCACTTTTTCATAACTATTAGGTTAGTCCCTTCTGTGCAAAAGCTGTAGTGATTGCATAGAACCACAAGTAATAAATAATTATCTTGAAAACTGATACTACCCTCTGTGTGGCATTCTATTTGCTCTTAGAAGAGGTCTTTTTGTGTTTAAATAAATATTCTACCAACACTTCACCTGTCCTTAAATACCTAAATCAAAAATCAAAACCATTTTGGCATTAGCATCCTGCAAAAGCTTCTAAAACAAGTCTTGACATCAATGATGGACAAGAATTCTAATAAATCAAGTGGGTGTTGTTAAAACTCAGAATCATACTAGTTAGGTAAACTATATAGAAAGAAAAATTAATACCACAAATTTAGTGTTTAATGGATTAGTCACATTTGCCTAGTTTGTTATAGATGCAGATTCAAGCCTGCAGTTCACTTACTACTATCATAACAATGTAAATGTTTTGGTTTGACTGAGTTGGCAGCAAACTGTTTTCATGTTGTTAAAGATACATGAAAGGTAAATGTGCCCAGCTCTCAATATCAAATTGTCCATCTCA